ATTTTATTAAAAAAATTGAACTCTTTTTATATAAATTAACAAATCTTTAGTTTCAAAAACTCTTCTTATCTCACTTTTTGAAGGAAAAAAAATTCTCATTTTTCTTTATGTAAAATTTACTTAATAATTTCTTACTAAATATAAAAAAATTAACAATTTAATAAAATTTTAATAAAATATATCATTATAAAACTTTTATTAATTTTCTGTCTAGTACTTTTTCTTATCGCCTTGCCAATGAAGACTTCCTTGGTAAAATTAGGACTTGTTTGGTACAGTTTGTTGGAATTTTTTTTTTTTGTATTATTTATTAGTAATAAGTTTAAATTTTTATTAAAGAAAATTTAAAAGTTACTTTTAGAGAAAAAAATAAAAAATGAGTAAAAAAATTTATGAAAAACTTAAATTTAAAATTTTTTATCTTTTACTGTTTAAAATTTTTTTAAAATTAAAAAATATTTAAAAATATGCATTTAAAAAAAATTAAATTTATAAAATATAAATAATATTTAAAAAAAAATTGAACCACTTGGAAACCGCAGAACGTAGCCTTAGGGCCTGTTTGGTGTGGATTGTAGAAAGAGCTTTTTAGCTCTAAAAGCACAAGCCACACCAAACGGGGTAGCTTCCTAAAGTGACTGCAGCTTTTGAGAAGCTCAGCTTCTCACTTTTCCTTTGCAAAGGCCGGAAGCTTCCAATTCTTACTTCCGCGGGAGCTTCTCGCCTAAAAGTTTAATGAAATTGACCTGGCATCCCCATTTTGTCCTCACATTTCTTTTTATTTACAAAAATACCACGATATAAAGGGTTGATTTTATAACAATCTGCAACAGATCTGCGTTTTTCTTTCTTTCTCTCTGAAGCAACAGATCTGCATTTTTCTCCCTCCCTTCTTGCCCATCTTCTTCCAAGCCCGCCCGCGTCCTCCTGTGTTGCCGCTACGCTCCCAAGTGTGGAACCGCTCGTCCCTCTCCCCCCACCACGGTCTAGTGCCGCGCCGTGCCATTTAGCAGATCGTCTTCAAGCCGCTGCCCTCGTCTCAGATCAAAGCAGAGCTTGACTGGAGGTAGAGGGGGCGCCGCTCGATGATCTGGAAATGAGATTTGGGGCTTTAAGAACTGTTGTTCGGGCCATATGTTTTTGAGGCTTGGTCAGGTTGTGCACAGAAGAATCATGGACGGTGATATTGTCTTTATCAATAGGCTCCCAACCACATGATGTATTTAGATTTTTTTTTCAATAAAAATAATTATAAAATTCTTGATAAATGATATAGATTTCTTGATAAATAAATTTTTTTTTAAAAAGAGAAAGAATGTTTTATTTTTTAATATTAAAATATAATTATTTATTTATTTATTAATATAAAATTATTAATTATTAACAGTTATATTTAATAAATAAAAAATTTTATTTGTAATAATTAATTTTAATATAATTAAATTAAAAAAAATTAAAACTCTATAAAAATATCAAAAAAAAAAAACAGTGCTTTTTTTTAGAAAATGCACTTTTTTTAGTTATTTCAATATTAAAAGATATCTTATAAAAAAAAATTTATCAAACAATTTTTCACTCTACAAATACTTTCATACAAAATTTTACCAAACATTTTCAGCTTCTCAAAAACAACGCTTTTACATCAGATTCTTTTCAACAGAACTTCCATAAAAATACCAGCCACACCAAACACGCTCTTAGTTTCTATTAAAAACAGGCCTACAGGACAAAGGCCGAGCCCATTCGCAGCTCTGTTATTTTCTTCTTCCTTTTAGTGG